TGTTTGAAGCCTGAAATGTGGCAAAAGGTCGCAAAGTTCAAGGGGGCCAAATACTTTCGCAAGGCACTGTACAATGCAAAGACATCATTCACTGGCCAGAGAAAGATGTGTTTAAACAATTCATATATTTAAAATTATTTTAAACATACTGTAAATATTAGTTCATGTGTAAAATAGGCCTCTATAAAAATTATTATTACACTTACACTGTTATTAATCTTACACTTTCAGTGTTTATATACTGGTTACTAATGTTAAACAATCAGAATCAGAATCAGCTTTACTGACCAGGTGTGTCGGATACACGAGGAATTTGACTCTGGTACATCGGCTCTCTGTGTATGTACATATCCCCATGCAAGGGGCAAGTAAACAATAAACCAGCATAAGCCTGTGTAATATAACAAAGGCATGTGCCCCAGTAAAATCACACATTTGAGTTTTAACAAGCTCCTATGTTTGCCAGTGGATTAATTTAGATTGATAACAGGAAAATAAATGATTTTTTGCTCTAATCCAGAATATGAAAGCAAAATACGAGCTGAGACACAGTGGTCAGGGTACCACGGTGTGCACATATGCATGTGTTGCATGTATTGTGGACAAAACAAAAGAATCAACTGAGGTATGTGACCAGGACTAAATAGTTTTTGAATAACAGAGATAATCTTATTTTGACTCTAACATTATTGACTCCCATAGATGGATAAAGAAAATTCTTTATAGGAGGCTGAGACCAGAAAAAAGTTCAGAGAGATGAAGGTGAGAAAAGTAAGACCTGGCTGTAGTTCATAAATAAGGTAACATTAATTTAGTTATGCAGTATGTAACCAGGCATGGATGCTGAATGTGAGGTAAGCTACAACTCTGCACATATGATCAGTTGGACTACTCTTTAAACGCTATTTATCGGTGTACTCCATAAAATAAAGTTGATGCCAAGTATGCTGCATAATACATCACATGTAGGATTGTTCTTTCTATAACATATAACATATTTGATGCTCTTGTCGCAGAGTCAAAATATTCTTTGTTCATTGTTCTATGTATTTTTAACAAACAGGTAAACCTGAGGCAGGAAGGGATGGTGTGGAGGAAGTTGTCTGTGCAGGGAGACAGGTGTGCCACCACCAGCCATCCACTGTGCAATACAGTTTTGAAGTAACTGGAGCATCGATATGTTATGTGGCCTTACAAGTTACAAAATTTTTTTAAATTGTGCTTTTCTTTAAATTAATTATTTGTTAATAGATTGTCTTGTAAAGCATAAAATTGACAAATCAAACTGGGCTGCTTGACAGTATGAGATGCAATAAAATGCACAAAACAGGGCCAAAGTTTTATGCCATAAAAACATGTTGAGACTGTTCATAACATATTTTGAAATATGAATATTTTCATAAAGATTAATATCTCTACATTTTTTACCTTTACCAATAGCTGTTTCAGTAGCAGCAGTACAGCAGTGGAACAGTAGGCTAAGAAAGGGACGTTTATAGCCCATTTCATTCATGCAGCAGACACTCAAGAAAAATTGTGTGATTCGAGCAATGGGGGGGCCTGTGCCCCAGTAGAGCTTTATGTCTAGCAACACCCCTGGTTTCCCATGGGAGCAGGACCAAGCGGCATCCTCTGGAGCATGAATCGCACATTAAAAGGATTTTATTAGGGTTTTCCTTAGCAACAGGACAGAGCAGCAGCTCAACCACTTCTTCATACAAAAATGATTACAGTAATACAAAATATAGTATAAAGTAAAAATAAAACAAATTAACCTTTGAAACAAATCGTGGCGTGAGGGAGACGAGAGAGAGAAGCTATCTGCTATCTGTTGGCTTGCTGAAATCTTTTTCTTTTTGTGCGACTTTAACAAAGAACCTATCCAGTGACGTGCTTTTGCCTCCTTTTGAGGATTTGGTGGAAATGTGAAATTGTCATTAAACAGATTTATTGTTCGTACTGCTACAGCTTTATTTGGATGGCGCTTTTCTACAAAATTTTGCACTGTTTCCCACATTTTACACGTCTCATATAAAATATTGCGATGTCGGCCACTCGCATACCTCGTTCATGCTTCTCGATGATTTGCTTTTTAACTTCCACTGTAATCATCTCCTTTTTCTTACCGCCTTTATTTTCAACCTTTATTTTTTCTTCATCAGGGCCATTGTTGCAGTACAGATGTTGACTATGCAAATGAGGCACGAGAACCATCAGCTCAGTTGTGACGTGACACTCAGCAGACGAGGTGTACGTACTACTCGTATTGCGAGAACTCGCTGGTTTATCAAGTTAAAATTTATAAAAAAAAATTTTTGCTTGTCTTGCAAAACACTCGCAGACCAAGTTACTCACAATCCAAGGTTTTACTGTACATGCAGTACCCCTCTGGAGAAATGTGGAAAAATAGATAAAAAGGTTGTTTCACAAAGATGGTGCACTGGGTGGTGCCTATGTCCTCGGGGACTAGCTGTTTGACTATTGCAGGAAGAGGGGATATATGAAAACATGAACAAAATGCTACTGCAACTGTACTCTTTACAGGTACTCTTTCTCTCCAGCGCATTGCCTTATCACACAATCATCGCTGAAGGGGTGATTGGATGCCTGTGAGGAAGTTCTTTGTGACTCATCACTGTGTAGGACAGTGGTTCTCAAAGTGTGGGGTGTGCCCCACTAGTGGGGAATAAAGACATAACAGGTGGGGCGCAATGAACGGAAAAAATTAGAAATGGGTCATTAATACAAGTAAATTAAAACAACATCAGTTCGGGACCGGGAGAAAAAAGTGGAACCATAGTGCAACAATAACGGTTTACTATCGACATGTTAACTGCTGCGCAACATTATAAGGAAATTTTCACACAGAGGGCCAATAGTGTATGTAGTAGGCATAATAACGTAAATAGATAAATTTGTTACACGGACCATGTGAGTATCCATATCTACTTAAAAATAAAAATCACCCTAACAACCACAAAAAAAGTAGGCGATTCAGCGCAAGCAGACAAAGAAATGACAGGCAGTAGCCTTATCAACCAAAAAGCCCATGATGAAGCCCATCTTGCGCTTGGATTCACTGTGGGAATGGTGGGGGCAGAGGAGGGACCCATGTTTGTGTCTCAAAAACAGCTGGCAGCAGACAGCATGAGACCCAACAAATTAAGAAGACATTTAGACACAACAGTCCCCAGTGACGTTAATAAGCCACTCGACTGGCAGAAAAAATATCACATGGTAAAATCCTCATCAGTGGACAGCAAAGGGCAAATGGCTTCATTCAAAGTTGCATACAGAAATACCCAGTGCAAAAAACCACACACAATTGCTGAGCAGCTCATTCTCCCTGCTGCTGTAGACATGGTGTCGATTATGCTGGATGAGACAAGTGCTGCAAAACTGAAAACTATCCCTCTGTCAAACGATGCAGTTGCACATATATTTTATTTGTTTTGAACTTTGTGTTATTTGATATTTCAATACATTTGAAATTTAAAAATTGGCTGATTTCGTTATTTTATTGACAAGTGGGGCTTGAAAATTTGCCCACCCTCTTAAGTGGGGTATGACAAAAAATGTTTGAGAACCACTGGTGTAGGAAGACAGGACGTAGGAGGATTTACTGATCCTACGCTACCTACTGGAATTATTTTCTTCATTTGTGAAAGTTTTGTGATCCGACTGCATGTGGAATGTGACAAGGTGGGGCATATCTTTTTTGCCATACTTATTCTACAATGACTGAAGGATGGGGGCAGCTGTGGCTCAGGAGGTAGAGCGGGTCATCTCCTCCAAATTGATGAATGGCCAAGCAGTGTGTGAAAGGGCTTTGAGTGTTATACAATGTATAGAAAAGTGCTATATAAATATCCCATCGAATTCAGTTTTATTTGGATAGCACCAAATCACAACAAAAGTCGTCTCAGGACACTTTACAAAGTAAGGTCTAGACCTTACTATTATTATTATTATAGAGGAAAAACCCAACAAATCCTCCTTGAGCAGCACTTGGCAACATCTGGGTGGAAAGCCTCCTTTTGATGAAATACAGTAAACCTCTGACAGACCTCATTGTAGATTCCTTTTCTTGGCAGGGGATTTAGTGATTAATATGTTTCTATAAGATATTGAGATTCCTATTAATTTAGGCTAACCTATTGAGGTTCAATTCAAATTGTTCCGTTTGAGCTGCTTGGCTGCTGTCTGGTAAAGTCTAGTTACTTTCAATATAGGACAGTACATTAAGTTGCTAAAATTTAAATGAATAAGCACATCTAGAGGACACAATCACCTAAACAGTACTGCTCACTGGCGCTTCCAGTAGGGAAGAGAGATTATCCCAAAGGGACAGAAGCTTATGCACTATGTGCCTTAAAAGGCCTAATTTTCTCTAAGATCAGATCCTCTTGGACTCTAGGGCCAATGATCTGGCATTCCCGGCATAAAATGAGTACATTAGAAGGGAGTAAAATAAACTAAGAGTCTCATTAAATGAACAGGGTAACTCCCGGTGTATTTTCATTTGCATTTACTACATATGTAATAACTTATGTTACTTATTCACATTATTGCTGCTGCATGTGGCAGCAGGTCCCTCCAATAAAACAAGATTCAGGACAGCTTAGCTAAACACTTCTGCTATGATAAATTGGCCCTTTTCATTCACTTGTTACGCATTTTTTAGTCAGATAGATATTGGTTAGGTACTTGTTGTATTAGAAATGTCTTTAGTGTAGACAGGATGTCCAGCTCAGGCTGTTAAATGCTTACTCATTTCCATGAGTTACTGCAGGTTGTTTATGTTCAAGGATAACTAGATAGAAAGTGGCTACTGTATGATATGTTTAGCCGTAATCTTAATCATAATATCTTCCTAGGCTTAATGTCTGGACATGTCCCTGAATGTCCTGTATGTTCTTAGATACACACCACTTAATCAACACTCACACACATTGATTTTCTCCATGTTTTGACTACTGCTACGGTCAGCTGTAAAGCTGGCATATCAGGTTTGACGTGCCTGTGTAGAATGGGGTTAGCCCAAACCAGATATAATGTACAGGCCTGTTGGGTTCGGGGTTTTACATTCTTCATCTGCCTGCGCGCAGGATTGGAGGTGCAAGATACCTGAGTGTGTAATGTTAATTTTACCTGTGATCCTTGAATAAACCAGCACGGTTTTTTGTAGCCACTTGGACCACCTCATTTCTCCGAGCTTCACTGGTTAAGCGTAACTGGGAAATATCTTTCACACTGCATAAGAATTTGCTAGAGGTAGCAACAAAATAGTAATTCAAAGTATTTTCCATTCCAAAAGTACAGTGGTTATTGTTCAGTTGGCTCAAATTTATTCTGAAGAAGATGCTGTATGTGATAGCCTCCAGGCTACGCAGAAGACATTTTCCATGGAGTGGTTCAATAACTTTTTTCAAGTGAAGGTGCACCATGACAGCTTTCTTTTCTCTGAGGGCCCTAATGTGTGCACTTTTGGTCCATCCAACTAAATACATTTTGGGGTACAACTTCACATTTAAAATTCATTTCAGCCACTGACAAAAAAAGTGTGAGATGCCAATATGTTTGCTCTCACATGAGCAATGCATCTATATAGCTGAAAGTCAAGAAGGCAAAGTAAAGGTTAGTTCATATTTCAACCAGGTCTAATGTTCTTCAGCAAGAGATTCCCATGTTTGACTTCTCACCTTTGGTAATGAAGGAGCCATTCCTACTGAGGGCAGAGTCTTTGCTGGAGGTGGAGTCACAGCGCAGCAGAGGCTCTGATTCATCAGGGAAGAAGGCTTTAGTGCGGTCCACTGGTGACTCCAGCGGCTTGTGGATGGGACTGAGGCTTTGACTTACATTCACTGTGGTCATCAGCTGGTTGATGTCAAACTGTAAACAGAAAGGGAGAGATGAGAGGAGTGGAGAGTGAGGTAAAGAGGACTGGCAAGAAAAACCAATGCTCCAAAACACACATTAGAGAAACATTTATGCTAATTTGTCTCATGGAAAAGTAAAAAAAAAAAAAAAATCAAGAAATGATGTCATAATACAACAAAAATCAAAAATACCAAGCAATAAGGGATGATTAAATTAGTGGTAAATAACACACACTTCTTATAGTATATTATGACATATTAATAAATATATAAACAACTTTCATTGTTGCTAAAGATAGACATACTGAAACACATACGTGCATGACAAAAAAAATCTAAGAAACAGCCATGAATTGAGAAAGGGAGACCAAGTGCTACACATTATACCAAGAACCATATACACATGTATTAGTATAGTCAGACTGCATGTGAGGTTTAGATGAAAGTGTATAGTGGATTAAGAGAACATAATTCACCATAGAATCAGTTTAGCGACAGTTCTGTACTCAAAGTTATTGCATACCTCAGAAGGGCATGTCTCTTTAATAGAGAGCGTCCCTGGGTAGGCAGGAGAGAGAGTGCTTACAGTTCAGTTCAATTCAATTTATTTGTATAGCGCCAAATCTCAACAAAAGTCATCTCAGGACACTTTACAAAACAAGGTCTAGACCTTACTATTATTAATATTATAGAGAAAAAGCCCAACAAATCCCCCTTGAGCAGCACTTGGCTATAGTGGGGAGGAAAAAGCCCCTTTAACAGAAGAAACTTCAAACAGACGCTGGCTCTTGGTAGGCGGCCTTCTTCTGCCTTGACCAGTTGGCATGAGAGGATAGAGGAAAGAGAAAAGAAACGCAAAAGACACAACAAACAATCAAACACTGGGCAGGTTGATGTGGTTGGTGTCTGCTCATCAGAAACGTAGAGATCCAGAGCCAGAGCAACCTGCAGAAAGGAACAGGGAGAGAGAGAGAGAGGACACACTACGGGAGAGAGGAGACACACAGCTAGTGACATGTAGTGGTGGCGTATAGATGGATGGAGAGAGAGGAGAGGAGAGAAAATCAGAACATCATGGGCCTCCCAGCAGCCTAGGCCTATAGCCACCCCTAACTATAAGCTTTGTCAAAAAAGAAAGTTTTAAGTCTAATCTTAAAGGTAGAGAGGGTGGCCACCTCCCGAACTGAGACTGGGAGCTGGTTCCATAGGAGGCTCTGCCTCCCATTCTACTTCTGTGGACTCTAGGAACCACAAGTAGACCTGCACTCTGAAAGCAAAGTGCTGTGTTGGTATGATAAGGCTCTATGAGGTCTTTAAGGGTGCTTTCACACCTTAATTAGTTTGCTTTGGTCCGAATCAGTTGATGAGTTTGTAAACATGTAGCAATGTCTCCTTGGTTCGGTTTCGTTTCAAAAATCCAAGCGCACCAAAACACGTTATGTAAAACTACGCGAGAACGTTCTGTTTGCTTATTGGTCAGATGTGTCTGCCGCGAGAACAGAAAAAGTAAATAAAGGAAGAAAGTCCACGTTTCTGTGATGCAGGTTGGGCCTCGCCCTGGTTATTTTGTATTACGTTACTTGCATTTAGTCGTACAATTTGCCCACGATTCATCCTGGCGCATGTTTTGGGTGACAGGAAATAAAATCCAATGCCCTCAAATCATGTGGTTCACGGCCTTTGGTCCTGTTTTGGTTCGGTACGTGTTCTCACCAGGAGGACCGCACCAGAGGTCGCTAGATGATGCGGATCGAGACCACCTCATTTTGGGGGTCTCGGTGCGAATCGAACTAAACGCTGTAGGTGTGAAAGCACCCTAAGATACAATGGAGCCTTTTTATATTAAGAGAAAGATTTTATATTCTATTCTGGATTTTACAGGAGAGATATGATCTCTCTTGCTAGTTCCTGTCAGTACTGTCAGGATTGTTGGGATGTCCTGTGGACCAGTTTTTCAACATTATTTTGAGACAGGATGTTCCTGATTTTTGCAATATTGCCCAGGTGAAATAAGGCAGTTCTTGAGACTTAGTTTATGTGTGATTTAAATGACATTTCCTGGTCAAAAATGACTCCAAGGTTCCTCACAGCAGTACTGGAGGGCAGAGCTATGTCATCTAGAGTAACTATATGGTTAGAGAGCACATTTCTAAGGTTTTCAGGCCCAAGTACAATAACTTCAGTTTTGTCAGATTTTAAAAGTAACAAATTACAGGTCACCCAGGCCTTTATGTCTTTAAGACATGCTTGAAGTTTGATCAACTGATCTGATTCATAGATAAATATAACTGATTATCATCTGCATAGCAATGGAAATTTATGCCATGTTTCCTGATAATACTGCCAAAGGGGAGTATGTATAAAGTGAAGAGAACTGGACCTAACACAAAGCCCCGTGGAATGCCGTGACTAACTTCATTCTGCATGGAAGATTCATCATTAACATGAACAAATTGGAATCTATCTGATAAATAAGATTTAAACCAACTTAGTGCAGTTCATTTAATCCCACTAACATGTTCAAGTCTTGCCTGCAATGGACCAGCGACCTGTCCAGGGTGTACCCTGCCTTTCGCCCGATGCTGGCTGGGATTGGCTCCAGCCCCCCCACGACCCCGTTCAGGACTAAGTGGTATAGAAAATGAGATGAGATGTTCAAGTCAAAAAAGAAAGTCAAGATGCTGTGATCAGTGGCATCAAAAGTAGCACTGATATCTAAGAGGACAAGTATTGAGACAAGGCCTTTGTCTAAGACTAGGAGGAGATCATTGGCGACTTTCACATATGCAGTTTCTGTACTATGATGGACTAAAACCTGACTGAAAATACTCAAACAAATCATTCTTGTGCAAGTGGTCACATAACTGCTTTGCAACAGCTTTTTCAAGGACTTTAGAAATAAATGGGAGATTGGATATTGTTCTATAATTAGCTAGGACACCTGGGTCAAAAGTAGGCTTTTTGAGTAGAGGTTTAATTACAGCAACTTTAAAAGCCTGTGGAACATAACCTGTTAATAGAGAAAGGTTAATCAGATCTAGTATGGATGTGTTGATGAGGGGAAAGACGTCTGAGCAGCCCGGACGAGATGAGGTCCAGTAGACATGTTGATTATTTAGATGAAGCAATTGTTGAGGTCAGCTCAGAGAGATCTTTGGGAGGGAAGCAGTCTAAGTATAACTGAGGTCTTACAGATGATTATAAAGCCATTGTATTTGATGGCACATCTTTACTAAGCACTAAATGTCTGAGATTTCATTTAAAAACTCTGAATAAGGAACAGGTGGATGGTATACAATAACAAATAGAACTGGCTTTTGAGTTTTCCAGTTTGGGTGTGAGAGACTCAGAGTGAGGCTTTCAAATGAGTTATAACTATGTTTAGGTCTAGGGTTGATTAATAGGCTTGAGTCAAAGCACACACCTCCACCTTGGCCTGTGCTCCAAGGGATGTGACAGTTACTGTGACTAGGTGGGGTGGATTCATTTAGACTGACATATTCTTCCTGCTGTAACCAGGTTTCAGCAAGACACAGTAAATCAATGTGATGTTCACTTATCAAATCATTCACTAACAGATTTGGATGAGAGAGATCTGATATTTAATAGTCCACATTTGATTGTCCTGTTATTTTGTTCTATAAGAGGAGTAGCCTTAATTTTAAATTAGGTTCTTATGAATACAGTAACTCCTCCTGAGTTGATTGATTTATATAATTTAGGTGGTTGGGGGCAGACACAGTCTCTATGGGGTACTGGGAGTTTTGGGTGGGTAGCAGCTACAAAGAGATGCAGAGAGCCGTGTAAGACCGCCTGTGTCCTGGTCTCAACTCCGGGTTGTCATAATTTAGGTTGTAAAATAAACTCGTCCAGATTTCTAGATATGAGAGCCACACCATCCAAGTGGGATGGATGGCGTCTCTGCTAATCAGGCCAGGTTTTCCTCAAAATGTTTTCCAATTGTCTATGAAGCCCACATCGTTTTCTGGGCACCACCTAGACAGCCAGCGGTTGAATGATGATATGCCACTAAAGATATCATCATGGTCAGATTGGGCAGGGGTCCAGAGAAAACTACGGAGTCCAACATTGACTCATCTGACTGGTGAAGTTGGGAGTCATTAGCGTCAACATGAATAACAACCTTACTGTATTTTCCTGTTTAGGGGTCACCACAGTGAATCGTCACACTGACGACTCGCATGTTGACATTTGGCAGTGTTTTACGCCAGATGCCCTTCCTGACGCAACCCTGATTCGAACCCGGGCTGCGAGAGCGCTGCGCCTTAAGCACTAGCCTACCAGGGACGGCTTCTTTTCTTTAACTGTATTTACATTTATCCTTAGTCAGCAGCTTCAAATAGGACTCGATGCCATCTGCTCTGGCCCCAGGAAAACATTAGAATATGGCCGCTGGTGTCTCTAGCTTCACGTTTCTGACTATGGAGTCACCAATTATCAGAGTTGTTTTCTCAGTAGGTGTGTTGCTAAGTTGGGAAAATCGACTTGAAATGTGAACAGGCAGGTGATGCGCCGTGGGCATTTGTTTTGAGCTACAACTCTTGTGAACTGTCACCCAGCCACCTGGCTGAGATCCTGGCTGTTTGGGAAGTGATGGGGGGTGGCTAGCTTGGGGTAAGCTACATCTAGGAAGCTCTGCACCGGCTGTTTTCCATGGTGTGGAGCCTCACCTCCAATGCTGCTAGCATCTGACATCTATTACAAGTACTATTATCACTAAAGGAGGCACAGGAATAACTGAACATGTGACACTCCGAGCAAGAGAAAGGAGAGGAAGAAGACAAAGCCATTGCTTTCACATATGCTATTAGCTTAGCTAGCTTCTAAGCTAGCTGACCTAAAGTAGCAAGTTAAATTTAGTAATTAGGAAGAACTTATGTAACACAGGTGCTTAAGTAGTGCAGGTGTATGTTGTGACTCAAAAAATTATCTGATGTTCAGATAAACCTAGAAATTAGTGAGCTTGATCCATAAACAATCTGGTAGCCAGCA